TCACTCTCCGGCTATTTCCGTTAACAGTGTTTATGTGGGAATCTACTCTCATAGTTAAGCGTTAACAAAAATGGACAGAGAGTGCTCATTAATGAAACGAGAGTTCAAAGATTTTTTATCATTCAAAACTTAGTTTTTCCATCTCTTTTTTTTTTCTTAATTGAGTCACCTCCTTCATTTTAATTTGGAATTTAAAATTTTTTGAATAAAATAATGCATTAATTATTATCTACACAATCCATTTTGCTATATTTTTAAACAAAAAAAAAACATTCAAAACATGTTTTTGGTGATCTTATCATTATCATATCATGATGATATGATAGTTGTATGATAGCATAACTCATTCATTTTAACTTGAAATTAAAAAAAAATTGCATAGAAAGAATTCACTAATTATGATAATACATAATGGTATCTATTTTGCCATATTTTTTTAGCAAAGCAAAGATAGGTCATAATAAGACTGACAACACTATCATATCATTATCGTATCATGATATTATCACTATGAGAATATGATTATATCATGATATGATGACATCAAAAAATTTGGTCAATGACAGGACTTCATACTATCTTATCATTCTCATACTACCACTACGGTAAGACTTCATAATAATATATCACAGCTATGCAGTCATAATCTTACTACTATTGTAGACTGATAACATCATTATATCAGTATCATATCATGAAATTATCATTGTGATAACATCATCATATCACTGTCATATCATGATATTATTGCTATATGATAGAGGTAAGATGACCAACAAAAATTTGTTCTAAAAGAACATCAACATAGGCATCATCTTGCATAGCACATAAATTTTGATTTTTCTGCGCAACTTATTTTGAATTCGAAATAAAACAAATAAGATATGGTCTCGTTGAAAATTTGTAGAAGATTTAAAAAGTACATTAACTAGTGTATAGAGATTCACTTAATTGTCCCCAAAATCTATAATTTTCCTCCTTACTCTACCATCAGATATCTTCTTCCTAATAACAACCATCGCATTTGATTTTGCAACTCCAAATAAAAAATGGATTTTGTATGGAAACCTAACCCATTTTCTTAGCAGTGCTAAAGTATTATCTTGCGATTGCATGTTGTGGTAAAAGCTGTTGAGATTAGAGTCATTGCGATTTGTGAGACAAATTATAGGATTTTTTTTTTTTTTAAAACAAACTTATAAGATTTTGAGACTTGGATAGATCCAATCATGTTTTGGAAAAAAGACAAAGAAAAGGGGTTGTCTCTTTCAATCATACCAATTGATTGGATCGAAAGCTTGCACAATTCCACTGATTATGTTCAAAGCTGGAAAATTGAGAACTTCCCATCCAAACACAACTCTCTGAAGAATATAATAGAGATAAAGGAAGAAAAAAGAGAGGAATGGTGACCGTAAGCAAGCAAAAGCCACCACTCTTCTGAATTGCTGAAGATGATCAAACCAGAGAGAGAGAGAGAGAGAGAGAGAGAGAGACTGTGTGTTGGCGCCTTTCACTCCTTAGCTTCACAGAATCAAACTTGGGGACGATTCTCTCCTTGCAGCTATAGCCATCAGAGTTTTGTCTCCTTGCAGTTATATAGCCATCAGAGTTTGCCAATTTCATTGACTAGAGCGAACAAAACTACAAAAGTAAACATAAGAAATGAGGGTTACTATTTGTTGTACGTGTCATTACTATTTGCCACCAGGGTATTAAATTAAAATGACTTTTTTGCCCCTATCAACACTCCTTCCATCACCCCTCACACTATCACCATACCACCATCGTCGGCAGACCACCACCGCCGGCCGACCACCAGCGCCGACCGGCCACCACCGTCGGTCGACCATCACCGTCATTGAACCACCATCGCCGGAGCCATCGAATGAGACCACCTCCGCCGCCGTTTGACCGCCGCGCCGCTGCCAAACCGCCGCGCCGCTGTCAGACCACTACACCTGCCGCCGCCAGACCACCACCTGCTGGCGCCACCGTCCGAAGCCGGCGGTCGGACCCGGGTCCGACCTCCGACGTCGGACCTGTCTGAAAGTCGAGATGGAGAAGGAGAGGAGGGAGAGAGTATTTCACGGGAAGCAAAGTCTGATGGAGATTTTTTTTTATATAATCGAAGGAGGTTAATTGGAAAGAAGTGATTATTAATATTATTTATTATTATATTAAATGATAATGGTTTAGGATTCTATAGTAAGTGAGATAGATGGGGGATTATTGGTAATATTATTATATCAATATCAGTATTATAATTTAATTAGGAAAGAGGTTTTATTATATCTGTAGTGCACCGACGAACCTTGAAGGTGAAGACCACCATAGTTTGATTACTAATCCTAATCTCACTAAACCCTAATTTGATCAAATCCATATTTGATTATATTATGTTAAATCATAATTAATATAACTAAAAAGGTAATAATTATTAAATTATCCTCAGGTAGCAAACAAAAAAGGGGAACAAATTACAAAGCCCCACAGAATTACCTTATGTACGAGATAATTAGTAGGAGCTTATGGTATGAAATTAATTAAAAATCAATTTAATTGCGGGATCTCCAAGGATGGTGGTTACGAAAATCACGAAGGAAAAAACCCGGAATCCGATATATGTGGGTTAATTAGAGGAATTTTGGCATTTAATAATTATTTTAATATAATATTTAATTGGGAAGGCGACGATTATTTTAATATAATATTTAATTAGCGAAAGGAATTCTCAGTTGTTAATTAGGGAAACTGGTAGTGGAAATCAATCTTACCTTAAAAATCTCCCTTAAATTTTACCATAAAATATTATATGGAACTATCTTGCAGGTGACTATCTTGCAGGATACTCAGAACTTGACTTTTTCTTTTTAGTTGGGTTTTTTACTGTTTTGTTCTCTGTCGTCTCAATAGGGCTGCCCATCATGTGGCATAAAAGGCCCTCTCACCGGGAGTTCGACTATTGGTCGACTCCCGCGCTCTTTTTATTTTCTCTGTATGTCTGAATTTATAACAACTGACTTTGCGGGGAAAAAAATTATATTTAATATTCCACCGCTAAAGTCTAAATCAAACAAAAATTTTACCAAAACTAGATCAACGAAAAAGTCAATCTTTCCTTAAAACTCTCCCTTTAATTTGCCTAATTATCATATTTTATAAATATTTTATTTTGACGGGTGATTTTATAAATATTTGAAACAATATAACTACTTAATTACTCAATAAATAATTAACAATTCAAAAATGATTTTTAAAAAAAAGTAACTGTCCGACGCCAGGTTTCGGACCCCATCCGACGCGGGGTTTCGGACGCCGTCCGATACCGGCGAGCGGACCGAGCATCTCCATCTGACGGTGGAGAACGACAATATCCGGGGGAGGAGGACGATCGATGACGTTGGGGAACAACCGCGCTCGTCGGCGGCTCAGAGTCGTCAACGTTGAGGGCCTTGAGGCTGTGAGGTGAAGGAGGGGAGGGTTTTGACCAGCGGCGGCCGAAGCTGGGGAGGGGCGGCCGGAGGTGGCAGTGGTCGATGGTCGTCGGCTTAACATGGAGGTTGAAGAAAAAGGGTAAGATGGTAAATATTATTATAACTACGGGCGGCAAATAGTAAACTTACGGGCGGCAAATAGCAGTTCATTAGGATGCCAAAAACAAGTCAAGTAAGATCCCCTACACAAAACAACAACAACCGAAAAAAAAAAAAAAATCAAACCCAGTGCTGTAAAGAATGGAAACCGTGTGTCATCTATCTTACCGGCTAGTGTACTTTGTTGTGGAATATGGATCCTATCAAATATCAATGGGCTTGTACCAGCCATAGTTTAGGGTTTACTATTGATTGAGAGGGTTTTCTGTAATTTGCATCTAACTTTAGTGACATTTTACTAAGTCTACAAACTTTTGTATAGTTTTTCACTTCTTTGATTTCTTTTTTCATTTTGTGGACACATATTTGTCTAATTTTTTATTCATTATACTTTGAATAATCCATTTTTTATTCTTTTTATTTTATCTTTTTATTTTTCTATCCCAAAATCGGCGTCTTTGTTCGTATTTGAGTTTTTTCAACTGTTCAACTAAAATTCAACTGATCACACGTATTCGGATTACGTGTATATCGGTGACGCTTATGTATCTTTTTATATATTAATTTGAGATTTTTCACTATTCAACTAAAAACCCATCAATCACGCATGTTTGAATCACATGTATATTGGTGACGCGTTTCCCATTTATAGAGTTCTTATAAATTAACAATATTTGTGAGTTTTCCGGCTATTTAACTAAATATAGGTTGATCACGCGTATTTCAATCACGTGTGTTTCGACGGTCCATTTTCCAATTTTGAATCCTTATTGATAAGAACAAGAGAACCACACTAATTGATTTCAACTAGAAATTCGTATTTGATTTGGCTCCATTATTTATCTCTTTAGCGATTTGCTAGATCCGAGGACACCCGCAAGGTGGGACAACAGAGTTGCTATAGTAGTACTTGAGCAAGACATTAATGATTTTCAAAATGTGTTGTTCTCCACTAAGTACCTATTCATTGGCCAACAAGCCCACTTTTTATTGTTTGTTTCACGTCATTGCAACATGTGTTTCATCGATTCTTATTTAGCTGCTTAGATGTTCATATTCATCAAATGAGAGCTAGACCTGCATTTTTTTGGGTTTGTCTTCTTTACAAGTTAGTTTATTATGTGTTACAATTACATTTAACATTTCAGATTACTCGCTTGACGCGAAGCGCAACGAGTGGGCATATCTAGTTCAGTGATTGAAATACCGTACCGGAGGTCGTACCGAAAAAGTCAGCGATATGGTATTTTATGCTAAAATCGTGTAAATACCGCTAAATACTGTCTACCGGTTTTGCTTCTGATAGGAGGTTTTTCTGGTCGAACCGCCGGTACGATATGGTTTATTAATCCTTGATCTAGTCACCTTTGAAACTGATTTGTAAAAAAAAAAAAAGATATCTTGCAGACGACTACGCTGCCTCTGGCCATGCGATTTCTCGGCCGGAAATCTCTTTTCCCGCATATGAGCCGCAACACCAATCACTATTCGGACGACAATGGCAAATTTGATGATCTCTCAACTAATAAACACTCCCCAACTTTGAAAGATCCAAAATTGTGACTACCTATAAATACTCTTACAATCTCATCTAGTTGGTTACCACTTTTTCCATCTATAAGTGGATCAATTATGTCACAAAGCAAAATTGCTTGGCGACCCGATTCCACTCCCATTAGAGTAGAGCTTCTTTCTTTTAAAACTGCACTCAGAAATCACCATTTTGGACGCGGGCGAATTGCATATCATTAAGGAGCAAGGTGGATGGGTTCATTAACGATAGATTTGGCTACATTGACGATATCCTCATTAGTGAATCCATCATCCTTCATGTAGAAAAGGTGAAGCACCTTTGCCATGTTCCAAAACAATTGCTTGCAGCATTTTGGCATTCCCTTCTCCTCCTTCTCCAACAACACCAACCTCAACAATTGCTTCCTCTCCTTCTCGATTGCTTCCCTCACCTCTTCCACGGCGTCATCCAAGGTCCGGCCGCCTTCAAGCAGCAACAATGACACTGCATTCACCGTCCCCTGCTCCGAATCCCTCTGCAGAAACCATAGTAACACATACAGTCTAAAACTCATGGCCAAACCCACAAAACTTGCTTTGAGTTATGAATAGAGATGTAGAGAGAACGTTTTTGTTACCGAGCATCCTCTCCAGTCATTGAGCAAGCGACCACAAGTGCTCATCCCTTCATACAGATTCTTATACTCTGCACTACTCACCATCTCCTCCGAGAGTTTTGGCCCTACTAAGTAAAGAGCTGGAAGAACAATCGGGCCTAATGCGAATGATACACGTGCGTTCTTCATGTATTCCTCCATTGTTGGCACACACTTGTTCTTTGACCACTCCGCTTCTTTCAACATTGACTTCACCAATTCTACCCACTGTCACAAATAGTCAACATTACCAAATGGTAGAAATAAAGATTATATATCCCTACCCATCTCGACTATTATACCCACATAATACCCTGTCTCTGGAAATTATGTTCATCCCATGATGAATCGGAAAATGGTAAGCAATCACCCCACATAAGAGATATATATGACAATGGGGAATCCTACTAGGTCACAGTGCAACCGAGAAAGTAAAGGAAATAATAGAGCTTTTTAACTCACAATGTCGTTTATATGACGGGTAACATCACGTCCTTGCCGTGCCAATGCCATGTCTCCGATCTCACGAATGGTGCCACGAATCGCTGTGAAAAGGATCTCAACTTGCTCAGAACAGAAATCAGTGCTTCCATCCACTTCCCAGCTGCAATTTATTTCAACAACGTTAAGTTGAAACTGCATACAGAGAAGAAGAATGATAAGCAGCAGTGAGAACAAAATAGTGGAAGGTAACGTACTTCTCAAGCAACTGAACAAGGTTTACTAATTCTTCCATGGAACCTCCAACATCGAAAAAGTCATCCACAACTGTTGTAAGCACGCCATTTTTGGCCCACGAGAAGCGAGCATCAGATAATTCAGGTGCATAGAGAGTTGCAGCAGCCGAGAAGTAGCAATAGCCTAACTTCTGCCTCGCAAATGATAGCTTGTCCAACTTATTTTCAATAATCCACCTGTATAAATGAAGGCAGAGTTCCTAAGAATGATAGAAGACAAGCAACAATTTAGCCATGGTTGACAAATTCAAGCTTCTTCCACGATATTAAAGTAACAGCTCTAAGAAAGAATAGCTAACAACCTCCTAACACGTCTCTATAAGAACTAGGCAGGATAACTAAAAATAAAGATTTAAAACTAGGATAACAAAATCATACATTGGAATAGGTATCATGTTTCTATGATAAACCTCTCAACAACCATGTAATAAACAAACAACAGAAGGAAAGTATCCAAGAATCGCACCTTCCTAGCTGCTTAAGTTCTTTCTTCTGTATCGACTGGCAGAGGTTGAAGTCATCGGCTGCCAGTTTAAGGACATCCTTGTTCCCAATGTTTGGACAACTAGTACCAAAAGGAGGCAAAGTACAGTGAGCAGAAGTAAAATTCTTTTAGAGGTACTTGAGATTGAGGAAAACGGAAAGAGGGATACCAATAGGTCTTCAAGGTCCAAGTGCTATCTATATCACTATAATGGTGAATACTTCTCCTATGGCCTAAGCGTTCCAAATCAACATGATAGGGATATGAGAGAGCATCATGCACCTGAAATGAAAGTTAGCTTAGAAAGAGATCGATCCAAGCACCGAAAATTGATTCCTTCTGCAGTGCTTCCTGAGTTTTTTCTTTTTCAAGCATATTCCATGGAAGAACTTTTTCATTCCAGCACTAACCCTGAGTAAATCATACCTTTGTGCTGATACTTTCACCAGGTTGGTCCACATAAATTGAGCCATTGCAGAATTCCTGTTTCAGGAATTTCATGGTCCAAGAACTTATTTCTTCCAGGATAGGTTCTTCCCGATAAATTATTTGAGAAGCTTTGTGTAACTCCAGTACGGCTGTCTTGTCCTTCAAGTATCCTTCTAATGAATTGAAGAAACAGTCTTCTGAGAATGGAGATAGCCGATCTGTAGGTAATATTATCACAGCTAGTTAGAAGTTCTGACAGTAACAAAATAACACCATGTGATGACCAGAACACCATTTTCATGAATCTGAGCAGCATTACCTGAAGAGACATCATATCCATAGACACGCAACAATCTAAAAGCCATAGCACATGTGGTTGTATCAAGAAATATATCTTCATCCCCCTGCAACCAGCATCTGTTTATGTGATAGGTGTGTCATGAATTCACTCATAAATTCAGGTAAACTGCAATCCTAGAGCTTAGAAAACTCCAATGAGTTTGTTCTTAAAGGAAGCTTTCAGCTATGTCAAGTGCCATCTGAGAAGTCAAAAATTGCTTACTGGTATGTCTTGTCCAGCAACATCTTTATTTCATTGGTGAAGTGGCGAGCAACTCCTAGACTATCAAGAGTGTCGATGACTGAAAGGCGGCTGCGTATGTCCAATGGATATATTGCTGGAGCTAATAAGGACATAGGCGTAGTGGTTTGCAGTAGATGTTAGAAAACAAGGTGGGGCAAGGATTTTAGAGGACTGTAGTTAGAAAGGACAGACCTGCATTCTCGAATTTGTCTAAGACGGCATACAGATAGCGAAGGCAATCAGGATCTTGAAGATGAGAAAAAGCAACTGCAGTAGTCGAAGGTGAATTGAACAGGGATCCATTCTGCCTCTGATATTTCATCACCATGTCCCAGTCTTGTGAGTGTTGGATACCTTCTGAAACATAGGCCAAGTAGGCTCTCCTTCCCTCTGCATTTCTACCGAACCCACTAATGTAGGAGAGAATGAAATGAGAGGATAAATAGGGAAGCAATCCATGCATACACAGTTAGCATAAAAAGCCGGGGGGATTATACCTTGTAAGCTCCACATTTCTCTTAGCTAGCATAGCATCTACATCAGTTGACTTGAAAGGAAGGTTCAATCCCAAATCTTTTGCATAGTCAATCATGCCAGGGAATATTATGTCAAACCCAATAGGTACATGCTGCTTCTGATCCTTTAGAGAAGCAGAATTGAAGTCAAGAAACCGGATGCCTACAACAACAGGGCAGCAACAATTGTGCATAAATATTCTAAAATTTCAAGCGATCTCTATTTGAACTAACTAGATGAGGAATGTAAGTTGTATACTATTACCTTTAGTGACTTGTTGTTCACCAAGGCCCCAACGTTGGAGAGCTAGAATGCAAGCCAAGGTAGAGGAGAGAGCATCCTTGATTAAGGATGGATCACGGCGAGGGAGTGGGAGACCCCAAGAGCCATCACTGAGCTGGTTGTCCAGTATCCATCTAGCGCATTGAGGGAAGAAAGGAGAGTCTTCCATGGATGAAGTAGGAGTTGGGACCATTGCCATCCAGGCGGTGTCGTATGCAGACACTGAAAGTTGAGCCTCATCAAACATCTTCTTTATCCGCTGTATTCTTCTCGAGTCATCGTAGCTCACGAACTGCAAAACAGATGATGCTTAATTTGTAAGTAGTATGTCTATCGACTATCATCACACAAAAGATAAGAGATAGCTTGTGATGCAGTGATTAGGATGGGAAAATAACGAGATTAAGAACAGAAAATGAAGAAGAGGGAAATATAGGAATACCAAGTTGGTGTTGCTGAACTCTGTGGTGAGCAGTGATCCAGATTCTCTACATGTTGCTGCACAAGGAGAGCAGCCGAGGGAGAAGTTTGAAGTTGAGTTAACTTAGTAAGTTTTATTCAAAGAAAGGAACATCATTGAGGTAAGTGAAGAGAAGGAAGCTGGACCTGGAATAGCAGCAGGAACAAGAGGAAACACAGGGTTTGAAGACATGGGAGGTTGACTCCCTGCCATTGAAAAGCAAACAAACATATTTTTTTTACAGTGAACCAAGGTGGTTCTTTATTGTTGCTTCAGTTCGCATGTATGCACCATGCTCCCTGCAGAATTGTAACCACCACTAACTTGGCATTATTAAGGGATTCATTCAACCACAAAAACTGAAGTATTGATGAAAATTTCAGAGGGAGCATCAGACTCGTAAGACTTGCCTTGGAAAGAAGACAAACGAAAAAAGGGGGTCTCTTTCAATCACACCAACCGTTCGATAAAATTCCACAACGAAGGGAACCTGCAGAAACAATTAATTCTGATGTGGGTTCTCCGAAGAAACACTACACTACCATAGATTACGTTCAAAGCTGGGAACTTGGGGGACCTCCAAACAGAATTCTCTGTAAAATCATGGAGATACAAGAACAACAGAGAGAAATGGTCACGCACCCTTTTACTGTAATCAAGCAAAATTCCTCGCTACTGCTGCTGAATTGCGGAAGATGATCAAGACACAGAGAGAGGGAGAGAAACAGAGATTTTGTTTGGTGGGAGAGGGAGTGTTGGCGCAACAACTGCCTTTACTTTCGTCCGTTTCTCTCCCACCGCTCCACTTCCTTAAAAGCTTCGCCTCATCTACGGAATCAAGCTGGGGGGTGATACCCCTCGCCGTGCTTTACCTAGCCGACAAACTCCATTGTTTATCAGTGCATTCCCCCACAGACTTTTTTGTTGTTGGGTTCCCTTTTGCATTGCGCCTTTGCTCCAGGGCCAATGGTTGGCTGGCCGGCGGTTCACCCTCTCTTAACTATAATGAAAAGTAAACAGGAATGGAGATGATTGATAATCGACAAGTAAGTCCACTCCCGATCCCCGGCCCCCCTACCTGATAACACGTCACCGAACCCACTCTGTGCCGTTTGCTTGGTGACAGTGAAACCCAGACTAAAACTCCATTACAATATTTTGTTGGTTCCACTTCCACCACCGTCTTCGGGGCCCAATACTTGAGCTTGAATCAGATTGGTCTATTCTTAGAATGATGGAAACACCTTTCCGTATCCAATATTTAAATAGTTGAAACTTGAAACTCATGATGAGAGTAGGGCGGGAAGCACTGCGGTAGGGTCTGGTCCAGATCAAACGAGAACATATAATTTCACATCGAGAACCTGACGTATGGACTAGAGAATAAATCATATTTGTACGATTTAGTTCAGTACGGTTGGATAGATCATAATGGATGAAAAATGAACAAGTTGTTTACTCAATCAGATGATAAATTTAATCAATAATCGAGAAAAATATTTTCTTTTTGCCTTAAAACATTAATTCCGACATGCATTAATAATTTTGATACTCTAAATCTCAGTAAATAATAAAGATACAAAGTCAAAGCATCCCAACTTGCATCATAAAGACGTAAACATTAACAAGATCTCATATGAAGACACGATCGTCTCTACTCTCCGGTGAAATGTGGTTGTGAATGAAGGAGGGGACGAGATGCTTAAAATTAGGGTTAAGACTTGGGTCTCGTAGGGAGAATTGGGAGAGTGGTCGAGTGGGATGCTTACACGTGTTGAGAAGTCAGCTGGGTCCATGATTTAGTCCGATAAACCGCGGTCTAGACCAAAGAAGACTAAGAAATCAAAACATCGTATAATAATATAGACCATGAACCAGATCAAACCACTTTCAACGGTCTACAGTGCGGATCAAATTATACTGCTCGATTTCGTCCACTATTTTGCAACGGTATGGTCTATTTTCTAGTGGTAGTGATATATAGTATTGTTTTGTTTCATTCACTGATGATGGGTTTTAATATTCTAGTGGTAGTGATATAGTATTGTTTTGTTTCCCCCAATTTCTTCGTTTTTCAACTAAAACTTCATTTTTTATATGGGAACAGCAAAAGAACAAGAATATCCAACTAGAGAATCGCAATTCTTTGCCCAGTTCGATACGAAATTATTCCCAGAACAACATTCTTCCCAGGAGGATGTTTGATTGTAGGGTTCTTGGGTTGTGGATTGCAGACACGCCTGCCATGTGTCGCTGTACTTTGCTGTGCTGGGTTTCTTATGCTTTCTTTCTCTTACTAGGTACTGGGTCTGGGTGGGTCTTATTTTGCCGGATTCCCAATTTCGGTTAATTCATTTTATCCTGTGCGGGTAAAGTTCTTTTTACAATAGAAAAATAAAAAAATTAATAAAAAGGGTGTTTTGGGATGTTGTTCGTCGATGTGTGGAGGCGAGACTTCAAGAGGTTTTGATTCAAGGGGTTGCGAATATAGTGATTGACAAGGTGAATTGGGATATTCTTTTACATATGAAACATGGGTACACTTTATTGCTTCAACATCTTTGTTACTGTTTCATTTTTTGTCGTTTAGCATATAGGCTGCAATTGCTATTCCTCATAAACTGCTTGGTGAAAGAATTCCACAAAGAACGCCTTCTCCTTACCTTCCGACTCCCCCTCCCTGACAAAACCTTCTCCCACACTCTTCCCTCTCCAATCACATCTCTGCCCATTTTCTCACGCCTTATCCTTCACTTTCGTCGACCCCCAGTCTCTGCCAAAGCCTTCTCCCACACTCTTCCATCTCCAATCACATCTCTTCCAATTTTCTTCCAGCAAAAATTATCTTTCTATCTCTTTGCACCATTCAATCAGTCAACCTTTCATCCATATCCCAATGTTCTTAAACTTCCTCTCTCTTTCGACTCCAAATGAAGAGTCAGAAATCGGTGCAGCGGCGGGGAGGACCAGTTGCAACTGAGCTCCCTTTTATCTTTCACTACGAGCTTCAGATCAACGTCTTGCCGTCATCGGAAGAGGATCATTTGATCTCTCCGAGCTTCAAATCCACATGGGCTCCCTTTTATCTTTGTTTCCTGATTGTAGAATCATTGTCGCCGTATGCAGAGCCGGAGGATGTCAACGGCATCGACTGAAGGAAGAGGGGAAAGGCAGATTCCATTGGAAGTGGGAAGGAAAGGTGAGCAGGCGAATTTTGGGTTCAGACGTCGGTGTGTAGGTTTCAGGATGGAATGAAAGAACCGGCTGTGGATTTGTTCGGGTTAGTTATCCGATTTCTTATGCTTCTTCCTCCTTTTACTCTTCAATTTTCTTTCTTTTATTTAATCTACTAACCAAACATATTTCCTATGGGCAAGTTCGACAAGGCGATGTAGGCGCCTGTTCTGATTCCAGTTGTGGATAAGGAGTCAACGAAGAAGGTCAGTGTGGGGATCAGTCGATCAGGCAAGCTGGAGAATGACGAGTTGCTTCTCCTCTTTCTTTTTCTTCTTCCAACCTATGTGGTTTCCCTTTCTCTCAGTGAATTTTCATTTCTTTTCCTTGACAACAGTGACGATAATGATGACGAATGCGAGATTCAGAACGTAGACGAGGCCAAAGGTTGAGAAGACGAGGATGCGGAACAGGATAACCGCGACAAAATCTCCAACCCTAACTGCTGCAAAAGCTGTGTCAGTTGCGCCCCCTTCTCCTGTGTCTTGGTTGGTGCTCCTCTCATAAGGGAATCCACTATCATCCCATTTTTTTTTTGGCAGGATTCTTAAGATTTTTGGAAGCCTAGGAAAATTGCACTCGATGCCTACTTACCTATATATATTTGTTGAGTTTTCCTACAGTATGCTCTCTATGGCATTTGTATTGGTAAAAGTACCATCTCCACATTATCAGTGGTGTGTCTCAAATTCCTCAGTTGCTGAATAAATCCGATGCAGGATCCTGCTCATGCTCCGAGTTTGAGGATGTTTTTGTGCCCCAGAAGTATGATACTGGGGTTGAATCTATGTTACCAAACACCTGTTTTTCTATTAAAATGCCAACTACTTTATTCTTAAAACAAACTGGCTTTGTGCAGGTAGCCAAAGGGTTTTGCTTTTGTGAAGTTCATACGCAAAAGGGAGATGTGTGATTTGAGCGTTCTAAAACGGCTCAGTCAGAGTTCATGACAGTTGGAAAGAAGGCTGATGCAGGGAGTGTGGATTTCATGCTGTAGGATCTGTGATAATTTCCTTGGGGCTTCAAAGATTGCTCAGGCTGAAATGACTCTTTCTTTGTATGATTCATGTACGTCGACTAGGTTTAGCTGTATTGAGTTATCTTTTGCTCTTATTTTATGCCGAAACTCTGAAATACACAGCTAATTTGATTACTTGCCCATCAAACTGCCAGCTAAATTAATTGAAGTTACTTGGTGCAAATCAAGATGACTTTCTCCCTCTTGCTATTTTTCTTTTGTGTTTCTGATTGTAACTTTAGTTTAACCAATGGAATATTGCGATCTTGATTGTTAAGCCAGATTAAAACTTTGTTGTGGAGAATAAATAATTGAAATTGTGGTGCTATTTTATATAATGTTCTTGATTCAAGATCAAGATCAAAGCAACAGGTATGGCAGCATGGTGGGAGTGGAGTAGTCTTAAGCTTGAGTGTATACCTCAACACTTTAGAGTTTAGAATCAGCTAACCTAAGCTAGCTACTTCAGCTAATCCTTGCTTTGTCTCACTTTTTGGGTTCCATGGCGACTTGCATGGGGATATGGACTCATGACTCATATACATATATGGGTTGTTCAAGCAACAAATCACCAAGGAGGGCCAACAGGAGTTGCTGAAGATTGGCTCGAGGTTTGTCCACTCGAAAAAGAATAGACAGTTAAACCTTTGCCACTGCCATGAATTCACTCTTTAAACCTGCTATCTTATTTTCCTATCTTGGTGTTGGTGGTTTTCCTTTGCACTAGACTAGATAGTATTTGGTTTTAATATTTATCCTTCGTTTCTAAGTTATATATACAAGCACTGAGTATTGTTAAAGTTTCAATCTCCGTAAGCATTATGTTGAAGTCATATGAGTTGGTAAAATAATGGAAGGGAGTGTTTTTGTCCATTTTTGTAGTTTTATTTTATTATTCCCATAGTACTTCTAAAATATATTAAATACGACTAACCATTGATTAACTACTCTCTGCGGCGTAGCAGCAGGTGCTGATTCTAGTAGGTATAATATGCGAATATAGTGATTGACAAGGTGAATTGGGATATAGGTATAATATGCCCTTTACTATGACGATTTATCAAACATGCCCTCAATTATTTTTTACATCAAACATGCCTTTGTATTTGAAAAAATTATCAAACATGCCCTTCTGTTAAAATTTTCATCCAAAAACCGTTAACCAAGGCCGAACTTTGGTTTGGGTGACACAAATGTCTAAAATATCCCTAATAATTTCAATTTAGAATTTTTTTGGTTCTTTTGTATAGCCAAATAATTCAAATAATTTCATTTTAAAGAGACTCAGAGAAATAAAACGAGTGACAAAACTGACATTTTTGCCCACATTTGCAGATGTCGGGTAGTCTAAATCATGGTTCAACCATGATTGACGATTTTTTCAATGGAATGTTTAACAGAAGGGCATATTTGATAATATTTTCAAAGTACATGGACATGTTTGATGTAAAAAATAGTAGAGGGGCATGTTTGACAAAACATCATAATAGAGGAGCATATTATACCTATAACCGAGGTGAATTTGATTGTTAGAAAGATTGTATAGGAGATTGTAGAAAGATTTTCTTGCTTGGCTCCTTTCAGTTTCGGAGTAACTTTTGAGCAAGTGATTTTTTTGTCAAAACAAAATACCAAATAAGGCAATATTTCTTCCTTTCTCCATTTGATTAATTATATTAATTAAGAATATTATTTCTATGCTGCTAATAAAATTGTTGATTACCTACACTTTGGTTAATGAAATTAATTAAGAAAATTATTTTCTATGAGTGTAGTGTGAAGTGTTCAGGATGGAGTTGGGCAAGACGAGACGAGATGAGCCAATAGAGGTATCCATGCTCTCTCTATTTTAGCTGTTACCGCTAGTCGGATTTTATCCACCCAACACGAATCGAATTGAATAAGGAAATTCCATCATAATAGATTTGAATTGTCATCTCTAATCCAGTGTGTTTTCCCCTGATAAGGGCTAGCACATATTCATATCATGTTGCCATAAGGTCATAAACCATTTTTTTTTTTACGGGTAACCTGTGAGATGTATTGAATTAAGTAGAGCCGGTATAAGGTCATAAACCATTAGATGCAATTGATAGCACATCGTTGTGGTCGAACATTAACCCTATATTTTCTCGATAATACATGCATCTCGCCTTTCTTTTGGTCGAAAATGAATACGGGTATCTTACTTGGGAAACGTTTCTTTTCAATTTTATTTTCATACCATATCATACATAGCCTAAATACAGGAACCCAACTGAACGGCAGAAAAGATCAAAATTAAGGAAAAGCCCACGGCCCAACATCGTCATGAATAATACACACCTTGGCGCCATCGGCCCATCACTTCTAACAGACTGTTTTGCCTTTGGCGGACTTTTGCTTGTCAGTTATACTCCTCCGGCCCGCGTTCATATTTCTCTGTTTCTTCTTTTTTGCATAGTTGCATTTGTTCCGACCCCACGACTGCTTCATCTCCACCGCGTAATTCCGCTTCTATTCTTCACAAAACCTTGCCGCCCCTCTCTGATATCTGCCCTCCTCACTCTGCAATCCCATCCCCTCGAATTCTCCTAGATGGGTCGGGATAAAACAGATGAAAAATTCGACCCAGTGTGGGAATTTTTGTTAAATCGCTACCAGGAGGCGGCATCATCGGAAATCCAGGCCATGCAATTGAAAGCCACGATCGAGTTGACCCGTTACTCTGACCATGCGCCGGAGCATGTTCTGGCTCGGGCGATACCAACTTTGGCCGGACTTCTTCACAGTAACAACAGCTCGACCTATTCAGTGAAGGAAGCCGCCGTGTATTGCTTAAAGCGCATTGCTTTTCGAGGTGAGGGTTCCTTGGCTGTGGAGATTGGCAATTCTGGTGCTATCCCTTGTCTGTTGAGGTTGTTGCCTCTGTCAAATGATAAGTTGCAAAGGGTTCTGATTAAGTGTCTTTGGTGCCTCGTTAATTCTGCGGATGAGAATCGTGTTACTGTGGCTAGAAATGGTGGTCTGGAGATCATTTTGGATATGTTGAATTCTTGTGTGGAAGATAATTGCGGCAAGAAGAGGGTCTATCTGCTAGAGATTTTTAGTGCATTGGCATTGTTGAAAGAGGTGAGAAAGAGGCTTTCTGAGTTGAATGGCCTTAGGTTCCTCATTGAATCGGCTAAATGGGGTAGGATGAAATCCAGGGATAGAGCTTGTCAGGCCATTGGATTGCTTGGTCGGTCGTGGCGTGCTCGGTGTATGCTTTTCGATCTAGGAGCAATTCCTGTAGTCATTGAGTTGTTTAGGGATGGGAATGGTAAAACCAAGGTTACTGCTGGCAATTCACTTGGCATCATATCATCACATGTGAATTTTGTTAGGAAGGCAGCTGAGGCTGGGGCTATACCACTATATGCTGACCTGCTTCAGGGACCTGACCCTATTGGTAAAGAGATTGCAGAGGATGCGTTCTGCATATTAGCCATTGCCGAGGAGAATGCAGTCGCCATTGCTGATCAGTTGGTCAGGATCTTAAGAGAAGGTGATGATGAATCGAAGGTTGCTGCCTCTAATGTCTTCTGTAATCTCGGCACCTATGAACCCTCCGTTTCTATTGTTAGAAACTCTGGTGCAATTTCTATTCTCGTTGAGCTTTTAAGACATGGGAATTTGGATGTAAAGGGGAGTGCCTCTGGGGCGATCTCTCAGTTGAGCTATGATCGGGCCAATCGAGAAGCACTGCTCGAGGCTGGTGCGGTTCCAATTCTCATTGGGTTGTTGGGAGATCATTCGGAGGACATGGACGTGAGAACTAACGTTGCAGAGGCACTGGTAAACTTTTCTCATGATATGGAGCAATGTGACTTGGTAGCTGAGGTGGTTAATGGTCCTTCGTTCGAGTTTATGCATACTAGAGTTGGTAGACTCCGATCCTCGGATGATCAGACTGTTAGCTCGTTGAGGCATCTTAGTGTTGAGCAGCTTAGTCATGACCCTGAACTTGTGTAGTTGGATACTGTAGACTGTAGAGTTTGTTGTATCTTTCTCCCTTTCTGAATTGTGCAATGTTGTATTTTAGGTACAGAAGTATATGTTTACTGTGATAGAGAACTGTGGAAAATCCTTTTCACAGTGATGGTGCGTTTCAAGCATCACAGAGTTGGTGAATATCTGGAAAGTACCATAAAAGGAATAGTCAATAATATTCTGTTGCCAATTCAAGTTGAGCAAGATTCAAATGTTGGAGGTCATTAGTCAATCTCAAATACTTTTGGTTGCAGATTTCCATTCTTGTAAGAGAATTGTCCTGTATGTTCTCAACTGTTCCATGACTAAGCTGCTCAACACTAAGATGCCCTTTCACAGGCATAACATAGTCAACTGTTCCGGGACTGGTTGGCTGCATGTTCTCAACTGTTCCATGACTTGACTGTGAAGTGTTGACACTTGACAGATAGAATTTTTTTTTTTAATAATATTGACAGATAGAAAGAAGGCTTTTAGTCGCCCTTTCACAGGCATAACATAGTCAGCTGCAGAGAATCATTGCCGCCATTGCCTTCCCTTGGAGATGGATGGGGTTGTCCTGAGACTGGGAATCGTTTCCCCTTGATCAGAATGCTGTTAGGGTATTATTCAACCACTCCCACCCCAAAAAAAAAAAAAAAAAAAAAAACCCTGGTACTTCTAGAGGGGAGGGAAATTTTGGAGAAACATCTGAACTCATGGATAGGGAACTGCACTAGAAGTCACGAAGAAGAAAACATAACTTCTCAGCGACAAAGGGTGTGAGAAAGATGGGTCCTTTCCTTTGCTTGTTTGGTGTCAATTACCAATCATACTGTTACATTACTTGCCCTGAGATATGTAGACAATAATCTAAACAAACAACTAATGTCCATATATCTTCAACTAATCCTAAAGCTGCTGTTGTTGGTAGTGTGGTGAGTGGACTGGTGAGTGTTCATTCACAATTATGAGAATATTGTAGAGTACTGGTAAGAAGTTTCCTTTTAGTTTTTGTGCATGGAGTTTATGAGAAACCCGCTTCTAGGGTCTCTCGGGACTGATCTTCGGCACCCACGATTACTCGTAACGAATAGGGATTTAGGAATTCAGATAAGAAATTAGGGATTTAGATGAGAAAGAATAGAATAGATAAAGAATCGGCTAAGGCCTTGGATTGGTTGAGAAGAGAAATTAGGAGTTGAGAGGAAAACTAGGGTTTATGAGATTCTTCTTAATATTCTTCTTGATTGATTATGACGTAAACCCAAAGTACATATTTATAGGGAAATACTGGAAAACCCTAATAATAATCCTAATCCGACTAAATCTCTACTAACCATAATTATTATTATCCTACCTAATATAATAATAGAAACTCCAATTGGGCGGGTATCTGACATTCCACCCCTCTTGAAATCAACCTTGCCCTCAAGGTTGCAGTCGCATTTTGCCTTCTTAACCCTCCGCTTTCTCCGCTTCCAATTGCGCTCAACTCCAAGAATGAACTCTTCTCGCGTCAGTCCAACTTTCCTCAACTCTCCTCCACCCACGAGACATATGCCACGTCCTCCATAGCTCTATAATTCTTCCTCCTCTCTTTCGAAGTCCACGAAATAAGAGTCGGAGAACTGTTCTTCCTTGAGCACTTTCTCATCACGAACCTCGTTGAAATCTTCATTGCACTCCTCCACTGACTTGGTGGTGAAAACCAACCCATTTGGGCTCCATCGTCCTCCAAGTGGGTTTGAATTAAACCTTCTTGGAAGCCAACATTCTAACTCAATAAGCCCACTTACTTCTACCTTCCTCTCTTGTCCCTGCAAAATAAATCCAAGTAGAAAGCCCATTGATAACCCAAATTTCTGATGATGACTCGGCCCATGTCTATTTGGAGAACTCAGCCCATTTTGCATTTCAAAGCCCACTCCATGTCCAATAACTTCCTTCAGACCACATTTTCGTGGCCCAACTCCATATAATATAATCATTGTTATGATGCCCTTGTATGACCCAATAATTGGTCTGTGCGAATCCCACTTAACTCCAAGCTGCTCCTCCCAGTCCATCTTGAGCCCAGCTACTCCTTCCTCTCCTACAGGCTCGCGGTCCAAGCTTTGATGGTCTTCACCCACTACATGGCCCAGCAATAATGGCTTGGCAGCATTGTCAACCAAAATGATGCGGCCCATCAGGCCGGCCTGCTGTTGTGCGGTGTGGGCCGAGTGAGGGTTTGCAGGGAGTGCACCGCCCTCCTTCATCTTGTTTGTCGTCCGCCACGTCCTCATCGGCGATGACTTCTTTAACTCCCCAGACGACGAGCAGCCACGCACACGAAACAGAGGCCAACTCGCTTTTGTCTTCATCTCCGGCTCCTCTTCCACGTCGGACGCGTCCATCAATTGCACGCCCAGCTCGATCGTGCTGGTCAGCGCTGTTGAGGGAACCGCCGAGGGTTGCTGCAATCCCAACGTGATTCCCGTCCCCGGCGAGACTTCCCCGTCACCTTCCCCCTTTTTCACA